TGTTGCTCTGGGGAGATGGAGCCTGCGTGTCGGTCATGGTGGTGCCCGCATGTAATTCCAGCGCTTGAGAAGTGAGACGAGATAAGTGGGAATGCAGAGCCATGGTTTACATGAAACTGTCTCCAAAAAAATATTTTTCCATTTAAAATTTCTTCGTATTATAGCATGGAGGCGTCACTCATGGGCATTTTCCTTTTTGCCTCCATTCAGAACAGTCTTTGTCCTTGTTTGTTAGTTTGTTTGTGTTTTAAGACAAGCTTTCTCTGTATAGCCCTGTAGAGTCTCTACTGTCCTGGAACTCTCCCTGTATAGCAGGCAGGCCTTGAACTCAGAGATCCACCGACCTCTGCCTCCTAAGTGCTGTACACCACCACTGTTAACTGACTGTCTTGAACCTTTTTGTTTGTTTTTTGTTTTTGTGTTGCTGTTGTTTTGAGACAGGATTTCTCTGTCCTGGAACTTGTTCTGTAGACCAGGCTGGCCTTGAATTCACAAGAGCTAGCTCCAGGACAGGCCCCAAAGCTACAGAGAAACCCTGTCTCGTAAAACAAAACAACAACAAAAATAATGGAATGTAAGTCTAACTAGTTGAAAAATGCCAGTTCCACCTATGGACTTTCTTGTCCAAAGCTGACGCACCGAAAGGCCACCAACAGATTTTGAACTATCCCTCAAGCCATTGGAGAACGTGTTCAGTTCAAGTTTTCCCACGTGAGCCAGCCCATCTGAGGATGTTCCTCTGTTTTCAGTGACTTCACTCCCCATAGTGTTTCAAGGCTGATGAGTGTTTGGGCTGAGTGAATAGTGCACACACCACTGATCTCAAAGGCCAGAAGTTGCCCGACAAAGAACTCTAGGCCAGCCTGAGCAACGCAGCAAGAGCCCCCATCTCAACAGTAGTAATTGTGGGGTGTGGGGCGTGCACCTCTAATTTCAGCGCTTGGAAAGAGGAAAGTTTGAGATCTTTCCTGGGTTATATGTGAGCAAGACCCTGTTCAAAAGAAGAAAACATTTTTAAAAAATAGAAATAAAAATAAAAGTAATAAATGACGGGGGCTGGAGAGATGGCTCAGGGGTTAAGAGCATTGCCTGCTCTTCCAATGGTCCTGAGTTCAATTCCCAGCAACCACATGGTGGCTCATAACCATCTGAAATGAGGTCTGGTGCCCTCTTCTGGCCAGCAGGCAGACACACAGACAGAATATTGTATACATAATAAATAAATAAATAAATATTTTTAAAAAAAAGTAATAAATGACAATTTCAAAGGTAGTCAGAACCAGGCTTGGCAGTTTGGGGTGTCGTCCTAGGTGCTTGGGATCAAAAGTTCAAGACCACTCTGAGCAACTTACCTTGTCTTTCAAAGTGTCTCGAGGTATCGAGGTATAGCTGAGTAGTGGAGAACTTGCCTCGAATGTTCTGGAAAAGAGGGAAGGAGAGAGAGGTCTTATACGTACATCTTTCTGAAAAATTGAAAATTTGATACTTTTTTTAACAAAACACAATTTAATTTTGTCATTGAAGAATGTATCGTGACAAGTATACCAAATGGTAATAACTCGTCCATTTCTCAGGAACTGCCAAAACACAGCCAATGCCTTATTTATTTTTGATGGCCTATGAGGTAAGAAACTGATAGAAGAATATCAAAAAAAAAAAAAAAGACTGATGCTTAGTGACATCTACGCATTATTCAGGTTGGAAGGTTCGTGGAGCACAGCACAGTCAGTTGGTTGTTATCTGCTCCTCCCTCACAGCACAGCAGAACAGAACACTGCAGACAGCAGCCAGATGGCTGAAACCACAAAAATGTTATGTACTCTAGCCCTTCACAGAAAATACCAGCCCTGGTGACAGCCTTCAGCAGATGACAGAAGCGCTGTGGTAGGTCCTGCAGCAGAGCAAGCCCACCTCACTTCCTAGCTGTCACACCTACCCATCACCGTCTGTGATTGAGACTGAGAGTAGCATGACAACCCCTGCACCCTACAGGCCAGCACACTGGCCATCTGCCACCCAAAGGCACATCTAAGGCTGCCCACACCCACTGAGCTTGGAAGGAGTTAGCTGTACCAAGCGATTTGTCAGCAAACATCACGTGGGCCATCGGAGGCAAGAACACGCTGTTCCATTTCATCTTGAGCTAGATGGGAGGAGCTTGGGTTAAGAAGAGCACTACTTCAAAATCATGAGGACTGGATTCCAGCACTCGTGACAAACTGGGCATGAACATGCCATGTCTGATGAGAGCAACAAGAGGGTCACTGAGGTTTGCTGGCCCCCAGCCTAGCCAAGAAAATGCCAGTCCTAGGCTTAGGGAGAGACCTTGCCTCAAAGGAGTAAGTAGAGAGGAATGGAGGAGGACACCTGATACCCTCTTCTGGTTTCTTCATGTGCCCAGGCCAGGTGTGTACATATGCATGGGCACACGGGCAAATAAATGAACACCTTCTAATGCCAAGACAGTGTGACTAGGAGAAGAGTGGGGACCTTGCTCGGCATTTACGACCTGCATGTTAGATGTGAGAGACAGGGACAGAGTCCACTGGGGGAGAGGTGAGTGTGACCTGTCACACCTACTTTGCTGGGTATGGTGTGTGTGTGTGGAAATAAGGATAATTTGTGCCAGTTGGTTCTTTCCTTCTGTCATGTGGGTTCTGGAGATGGAACTCGGAGAGTTGGGTTTGGTGGCAAGTACAGCCACTACACACTAGGCCATCTCGCCAACCCCCACTGCATCTTAATTCAAAGCAACTGTTGCTGCTGGTGATCCTTTGTTAGGATGTCTTGGCTAATGGCTAAGCCAACAAAATCACGGTGAAGTTGGTATGGTCCTAGACAAATGTCACATGGCATACCCTCTGAGGCTGCCTATCTGCCATTCGGGTTATAGGCCAGCCAGGGCTACATGGCAAGCTGAACCCTGTCTCAAAAAGAAGACAGGTTTGTTCATCCAGGGTTGACTGTAGAACCTGCTTAGGGGGCCTGTAGCAGCACATCCTGGCAGCAGTATGAAGCAGACCTTCACCTTGTAGCCAGGATGAGAGAGAGGAGTCTCCCACTAGGCCCCACTTTCAAAGCACAAAGCTAAGGACGAGCATTTTTTCGGGGGGCCAGTGCTCACCATGTCACTTAAGCTCTCTTGACCTCTGGGCTCAGAGGCTACTTCTGCCTTCGCCTCCCAGTGTCTGTGCTCAGCCCCTTGTGGCCTCTATCTGAGCTCCTTCATTAGGTGCCCTGAGGCCATCACTCGTGTCTGTCATAAATCTGTGCTTGCACACCTCCCCTTCCTGGGGACACTTGTTGGTAGTTTAAAGAATGTAGTTATCTGTCAAAACCCTGAGTAATCAGGTAGCACACCTCCTAGAGGTAGAGGCAGGAGGCTCAGGAATTCCAGATCCTCATCCTTGGCTGTGCTGTCTCAAGCACCCTGCAGGAAGCGGGTTGTGCCGCTGGAGTGGTGGCTTGTTAATCCCAAATGAGAGTAGAGACGTTACCCCAATCCTTTGGTCAAATTTTGCAAGTGTTGTTTTCTGTCAGATAGGGCTAGCTCCCCAAAGCAGGGTTTGAGAAAATAGCATCAAACACAGAGAAAGGTGATGTTTATATAGCCCAAAAAACTGCAAGACTGGGGCGGTTTCAAGGGTTGGGGTATTTCCAGAGGAATTTTGGTTATGTAGGAACTTGGCTAAACATTTCAGAATTATTTGGGAGAACATCTTATCGGGGTAGAGGTTAGGGTATAGGATATAGAACATGTCAAATTCCAGAAAACGTGTTAAGACACAGTCAAGCCCAAGTTTTACAGAAAACAGGAGTGATCTTATTTTGACCTTGTAACAAGATGGCTTTTAATCTTAAAATGGGGTCAGGCTGGTCTGTCGGTGTATCCTGGAATGCTAGCAGCTGAGAAGCAGGAGCATTGCTTCGAGTTCCGTGCCAGTATGCATAGTGAATTTTATGTCAGCCTGGGCCACAAAGTGAGTATCTTGAAAAATAATAAATAGACCAAAGAGAAATTAATAAAAATGTATGTGGTTTTGTATGTGTGTACAATGTGTGCACATATACTGAGTTAAGATAGACCCATGAGAAAAGTCTTAGAACTTTGAAAGAAAATGATAAATGTTGTTTGTCTTTCTGTGAAGGGTTTTTGGCAGTTAATTTTATGATAACTTGACAGGCTAGAGATATCTGAGAGAAGGTAGCCCTGATTAAGAAAATGACTCCTTAAGACTGGGCTGTACACAAGCTTGTAGAGTATTTTCTTAATTAGTGATTGTTATGGGAGGGGCCGTCTCTGAACATGACCATGACTTCTGCATCAGCTCCTGCCTTCAGGCCCCCACCTTGTTTGAGTTCCTGTCCTGACTTCCTTCAGTGATGGACTATGATATGGAAGTGTAAGCCAAGTAAACCCTTTCCTCCTCATCTTGGTTTTGGTTGTGATGTCCTCACAGCTGTTAGTAACTCAAACTAAGACAACAAGTCAACAAAATTTTAGCTTAGTATTTCTTGGAACATGCTGTCTTTAGTTTTCAAAGGCGGAAAGGTGTGTAAACACCCCGTGTACGAACACTGTGTGTGCACATTGTGTACCTGCTTCCTGGTCTGGAGGGCACTCTTAGGTCTCATGGGATTGAGAGGTGGCTTTGAAGTAAAGGTGCTTAGTCCAGGTGGCCAGCCGGTGTCTGGGTGATGTCGCCAGGGATCTGTGTGATCCCTGCATGCTCAGGTCATTGGCTCTCTCTCCCATGTCTCGTCTCTGATGCATGCTCCCTCTGCAGGTGTGTACAGGCCAGCTCTTCCATAGAGCTGGTGTTTGCTGGCTCTGACATTCCAAGGCATTCCGCAGCTTTTTATTTGATCTGTGACATTCATGCTTCACGGACTTCATGGAGTACTGTCCATCCGTGAAGTCAGATGCCTAAGCACTCCACTTGAATGTTTTCATTCCACAAACACCAGCACCATGCTGACTGCCTGCTTTTCTGCCCCAGGGAACCATCAGCGTCGGAGTCGATGCCACTGACCTTTTTGATCGCTATGATGAGGAATATGAAGATGTGTCCGGAAGTGGCTTTCCGCAGATTGAGATTAATAAAATGCACATATCCCAGTCCATTGAGGTAAAGCACAGACACTTCTCCAAGTACAGCCTGGGCCTGAGTTAATGAGGCGCAGTGCCGGAGCAGCTGGATGGGAGTCGGCTCGGGGTTTCTCATCGTTATTTATGAAAGGCTGCAATTAGCCACTGAGAGAGGGGAGAAGGAAGGGCGAGAGAACTTGCGAGCATGCTCCATTTGGCCTTGTTTGTTACTGTTTGGCTCACACACACACACACAAGGTGGCTGAGTGTTGGCACTTAACTCCCAAGGTCCCAGGTCTTGCCAATTAGGAGTGCTAATGGGGTAAGCATAGATGCCCAAGGTCATAGTCATTTTAAGAAGGAAGGCAGCCCTGCTGGCAGATGATGCTTAGAGCTAGTCTAGGTTCTAAGTACTTGACTATGTGGAAGACAGTAGCAGCTCTGGTCCTGAGCCAGGGAATTCGAACACCACCCTTTTGTCCCTGGATGCAGTAGGGGCAGGCCATTCTATTTAGGACACCAAGGTCTCTGCCTACACAGCATCTTCATTTTATTATCAAGTGCGTGAGCCTGCCCCATGGAGTTAATGCCAAGAAACTTGCTGTTCTTGAAGAGCCCTTAATACAGCCAGAACCCTGGTGGCAGACTGGGAGTAAAGAGCCTGGACAACACATTGTGGGAAGGCACAGGGTGGGGGTCTCATGTAGCTCCTGCCATGACACGCTAGACCTGGTGTTCTGCCGCTCTCTGTGGGTTTTAGGGAATCTTCTCTTGAATTTGTGCAGCTCAAGAGGTAACTCAGTAAGTAGAGTGCTGATAATCACAGGCCGTGGACTGGATTCCCAGTGCCATATACATAACATCAATGCATATGGCTGCGTGTCGTGGCTCCTGCCAGCGCTTAGGAGGCACAGGCAGGAGCATCTTATCCCACAAGGAGGCTAACTCATCTGTGCAGCCCCACAGCCAGAGCTGTAGTGAGATCCTCGTAAAAAAATAAATAAACTACTGCTTTTGTGGCCCCATGCCATTGATATAAAGTGAGGAGAGCAGAGCGGTTGGGAGGCCTCCTGTCTCTGTCCTCAAATGCCAGGTGACCTGTGTCCCCATTGCCTCTGTTCACTCGCTACTCGTGGCCATCTTCCCCTAGGCACCCTTGACAGCTACAGACACAGCGATCCTCTCCGGAAGTCTCTCCACCCAGAATGGCAATGGTGGCGGTTCCATTAACTTTGCACTCCGGCGGGTCACTTCTGCAAAGGGATGGGGAGAGGTAAGACCCGCTGGATTCTGGTGTCCACACATGGTCCCGTTATTGACTAGTCAATGACAGCTAACCTTCACTGCCTGAGGAAGCTGTTGGTTGAAAGTTGCCTGGGCTCTGGTAGTCAGTGAGGCATCCAGGAGAGTGCCGGAAGGACTGATGGACTCCATCGGGGCTCATGTCCCATCTGTCAGCCAGGAGATGCAGCAGGTGGCACCATGGTGGAGAGGGGTGTGGACTACCAGTCTCCTTCCCTTCTGACTTGAGCCAAGGGAGGTCAAAATTCAGGACGGACATTTTCTTTGGCGGAGTACTTGTCTACAGTCTGGGGCAGAGGTGATACTGAGGCGTTAGGAATCTGCCGGTCCTCTGTTGGGAGCCTGGCCGGGTTCATGCTGAGCCCTGGGTTGCTGTTGTAGAAAGAACACCAGTAATGCTTTCTCTGTTTATTTTTCCCAACAGTTGGAGTTTGGAGCTGGAGACCTCCAGGGGCCTTTATTTGGTCTCAAGCTGTTCCGTAATCTCACACCAAGATGGTAAATACACAAGATAACTCCTTTTTGGTGATCTGCGCTAACTTGTATTAGAGCCTGTGACATCTTCTGATTGTGGACATTTGAAGTTACTTGTCCTGTGTGGGCGCAGTTGGACAAGTGCTAGGGCAGCCTGCAAGCTGAAAGAGCTCTGCATGGGAGAGCAGGCCCAGCCCACGTGGGACTATTTACCTTACAGTCCTGTGAGGACTGGGAAACAGAATCTGTCTGTGGGATTACCTGGTTATTGGGCGGAGTTGGCCACACCTGAGTTTTACAACCTCTGCAGCTACAGTGATGACTCCAGGCTTCATCCAAGTTCCCTTCCCAGCTCGTGTAACACAGAATACCCTGCTGAAAACAACTTAGGGGAGGGAGACAATTCCAGGTGATAGTTCATTCTCGTAGGGAGTCGCAGCAGCGGAACCTTGAGGGGACCGGGCACATCAATCTGTAATCAGGACAGAGAGGCAGATGTGGTGGCACACAACTTTAACCCCAGCACTTGGGAGGCAGAAGCAGATGGGTCTCTGAGTTTGAGGCCAGCGTAGTCTGCATTCCGAGTTCCAAGCCAGCCAGAGCTAGTCTGTCCTCGTGTACAGAATTCAGATCAGCCAGTCTCCCTCCAGGGCTCCCTCCTCCGTGGCCAAGTCCAAGCTCAGTCCTAAAGTTGCTGTATAAAACCAGGTGTGTGGTGACGCAGTTCAGTAGGAGGATGCTTTTGGCTCTTTTGGGGGGCCACCACCCAGTTCCCAGATAAATCACATGGAGACTGTTAGAAATGTCCAGCCTTAGCTTGACTTGTTTCTTGCCAGCTTTTTTTAACTTACATTGTGCTTTTCCTGTTCTCTTCTATAGATTTTTACTTTGACTCTTGCTCTGTGGCTTGTTGGCCCCTGATGTCCTCCTCCTCTGGCTACTTCTCTCCCCTATATATTCTCTCTGCCTGCCAGCCCTGCCTGTCCTTTCTCCTGCCTTGCTATTGGCCGTTCAGATCTTGATTAGACCATCAGGCGTTCTAGACAGGCAAAGAATCACAGCTTCACAGTGTTAAACAAACGCAACATAAACAAAAGTCACAGACCTTAACATAATATTCCTAACTGCAGGCAGGGATAGGATAGGTAGAGGCCGGGAGATCAGAAGTTGAGAGTCATCCTCAGCTTCTTGTGGAGTTTGAGGTCATCCTAGAATACAGAAGACTTTGTGTCAGAGCAAACAAAGCTGCTGGGTAAAGCCAGACTTAGTGGTGTATGCCTCTGATCCCCACTGCTCAGGAGGCTGGTGCAGAAGTGTTACAAATTTGAGACTGGTGTAGACAATCTAGTAAGACCCTGTCTCCAAAAGAAAATGGGAAAGGCAAGCATGGTTGTAAACGCCTGTAATCCCATTGTCGGAGGGGTAGGAACAGGAGGGTCAGGAGTTCAAACCCTCCCTGTGCTGTGTAGCTCATCGAGGCCAAGCTCTGGCCTATATGAGAATCTGGCCCCCAAAGCAGACAGCCCTGTGGAATGGTCTCGATCTCTGTCCAGTGCCTGCCTTGCTGATCAGTTTTCCTCCCTTTGGGACAGAACCTGGTTTCTCATCCCTGTCTTCTTTCGGCTTCTCTGGCTTTCTCTTGGAACTCTACCGATGACATTCTCCCTGCTGCTTCCCCTGGCTCCTGTAGGGGAAGCAGGAAAATGCAGCCTTTCTCTAGCATGGCTGGGTCTCGTGGAAACTAAGAAATTGGTTCTTTTTAGTCATTTGGCTGAGGGAAGCTACTGGGAGTATAAAGTAATCCTGATTAAAAGTTAGTGAGTTTGCTGGGTGGTGGTGGTGGTGCATGCCTTTAAGGAGGATCTCTGAGTTCACACAGAGAAACCATGTCTCGGGGGGGAAAAAATGTGTCAAGAGTGTCATGGTTACCTTAATGTCCCAAGTGTTATCTCTAGAGCTTAGAAAGTCGAGAAAGAAATGGCTAGATAACAAGCAGTGAGCGTTGGGGCTGTACACCAGAACCAGTTGTCTGTCAGCCTCCTCCCTCTAACCAGGAGGTGGGGCTGCTCTTCCTTGGAAGCTGACTTCAGAGTCCTTCCTGGAAAGCTGGTTCTCATCAGCATGGTGAATATCAGGATCCCTGGGCAGGTTTTTTAAATTAGTAAGCCATCTCTGCAGCATTTAAGAGCACTTGTTGCTCTTGTGGAGGACCTGGGTTTGATTCCTGACACCTATATATCAGCTCCCAATCATCTACAACCCCAGTTCCAGAGGATCTGACAGGCATACACAGGGCACGCATACCTGAATGTAGATAAAAACATAGAAAATAAAATCTTTTTAGTGTATGCGTATGTGTGTATGTGTAAGCACTGCACATGCTGGGGATCCACCCAGGACTTTGACTTGTGTGGCGTATGCCTGGGGTAGGTGGCGCTACTCTTTGTGATGAGTTGATGTCGCTTGGAGACTGCTCATGCTCCAAGCCCGTGCTGAAGAAACCAGAATGCCTGACAGAGGAGCCCACTATTGATGGCTGCACATCAGCCAGGTGACTTCAGCATTGAGCAGAGTTTGGGGAGCACTGTCCTGAGCCACTGTGTTTGAGAGTGTCACCAGAACTGCCTTCCGTTGGCTCCAAACACAGCATTTAGTGCTCTGCTAGAGTGGATGGTGGGGAGTGGGGCCGCCAGGGAGGATCCTGGAAAGACAGGCTTGCTCTGCTGCTTTCCTTGCTGAGAGAAGGAGCAGCTAAGAGTCCGTGTCATCTGGACCCTTCTGTCTATGTCCCCCACCCCCAGCTTTGTGACGACAAACTGTGCTCTGCAGTTTTCATCCCGTGGGATCCGGCCTGGCCTTACCACTGTCCTAGCTCGGAACCTGGACAAGAACACCGTGGGCTACTTGCAGTGGCGATGGGGCATCCAGTCGGCCATGAATACTAGCATCGTCCGGGACACTAAGACTTGCCACTTCACTGTGGCCTTGCAGGTGGGTAGAGGACATGCAGTCTCCTGAAGGTGCATCTTGAGGCAGGTATCTCAGTATAACCCTATACCCTGTGGGGCAGTTCTGGGTACACGCAGCAGTGACTGTGGCCTCTAGTGAGGAAGGAGGATGTTCCCAGGTGGCTGTGCTCAGATCATCTGACAGGAAGTAGCAATTTCATGTCCTATCAGAATGGTTCTCTTGAGTCCTGTGGCCGGGCAGAGAGAAAAGCTGGTGGGAAGCAGGTCCTGGGTTCCTCGTCCTAGCTCAGGGTTACCAGAGGTTTGTGTTTTCATGAGAGGCCAGTAAACTGCATTTTCATTAGAAATCAGTTCTCTTACAGTTGTGTGCTTCATAACATTCCTGTCAGTAGTGGATTCCATGGTGAGACCATGTCCCCCAGTGGTGTCTCTGGAACTTACTTTATGTGAGATTTACACAGTGACAGATCACTGTCATCTCTCAGCGTGTCATTACACAGTAGTGGCTGTACTGACTGCTGGTAAACGTTCACACACCTGCCCTGATGAAGCTTCCCACAGGCAGGTGCCCAGCAGCTATGGGCAGCTGGCATCATCGCCAGAATGGTAAGGCTTAACTGGCGTCCTTGCACCCTCCTCCCTCAGCTGGGGATCCCTCACTCGTTTGCACTGATCAGCTATCAGCACAAGTTCCAGGATGATGACCAGACACGGGTGAAAGGGTCCCTCAAGTAAGTCTGACCTGACCCAGCTCTGTGGAGGGCCCTCGGGGTGGAGCTGTGGTGGGCACCTGTGTGTCATCGTCACTCCTGTGATGCTCCCTGATTGTCCCATCCTGGCATTGGCCCTCATGGATGATGGGTGTGGGGCAGGAGGGAGGCAGAGGGAAGCATGTGCCGGCAGCTGTGCTGTACCCCCACAGGGCAGGCTTCTTTGGGACAATAGTGGAGTATGGAGCTGAGAGGAAGATCTCCCGACACAGCGTCTTGGGTGCTGCTGTGAGCATTGGCGTGCCGCAGGGGGTGTCTCTCAAAGTCAAGTAAGTTGAGCCTGACCCTTGCTAACCTCAGTGTGCCCCTGCTTCTGAGCTGCATGAGCAGAGGTCAAGGGGCATAACCCAGCAGTGAATTGGGAGAGGCCTAGGCTCTCCTCCCTCACGCTTCACCAGGCCTATCCAGTGACCACATCCACACCTGGGACCACCACAAGCATCTGCAGCATCAGATTTTTCCTTGTCTGCAGCATAAGAACGTGCACCCTTTCCTCTGCACTGCCCGGTTCCTCGGTCGTGCTGTCTGAGTTTGCTTGGGATTTTGATGTTTTGTTTGAGATATGATCTCATATAACCAAGGCTGTCCTGGAGCTCAGGCATAGACACTTCTAGCTTCTGGGTTTGCTCACTTTTCTGTTGCATTGCAGTTGGGCCTCCTTCAACCACCTGGACATCATCCTTCCCAGCAGAGGGCAGCTGTCCGTCCTCTTCTGCCTCTGCTTCCTCCCTACACTTTTCTGTACCGGGATTCTTGAACAACAGGCTGGAGCCCTGCTTTTTTTTGTTCCTGCCTCCCAGAGGTGGCTCTGTGGAGCGCAGTCCTTGTCTGTGCAGACTTCCACAAGTGACGCAGTCTGGCCTATGTGTTTAGTGTCACCGTCTACCGGTTTTGTATCTGGATGGAGTCCTTAACTCCCAAGAGATGACTGTACTGTGTTTCCAGTGTCCTTGCCTCAAGGCCCCATCTTGGCCTGCTTCCTAAATCTCTAGCTTATATACATGGTGCCCCTCTGTATCCATGGATATCACGTGTATGGATTTAAGCCACCAGAATCAGCAATTATGGAGGAAAGGTCGCACAGGTGCAGACAGTGCAGTATGGCAGCTGTTGATGTGGCATTCGTGTTAGACAGGACCCGAAGCCAGTGAAAGATCTTGTCTAAGAAAAGAAAGATGTGAACAACTCCTTAGGAATGACACTTAAGGTTATTTGCACATGTGTCCAGCAAGAGTCCTAAATTCTGTGAGTGCAAACAACCTTCTGACCTCTGCAGGGACTGCATGCATATGATGCATTCATACGTGCAGGCAAACATTTGTGCATGTGAATCAAATGATTTTTTTAATTAATACTGGTTTCTGCAGACACTCTACCATTTTACACTCTGAGCTGGGACTCCTGGGTCCCAGTGCTCATCTGCGTGCTGACCCTCTTTTATCTGGAGGAGGGCACTGGTGAGGACACCACGCTCTGCTGGACTCTGTCTCCGCACTGATGTGATGACTTACTTCCAGTTGGCTTCTCAGGGACAGTGTCACCTGTCACCCTCTGTTCTCTGTGACAGTATTAAACTGTCCAAACTAAATTTTTAAAGAACTTATTATTTTGGGACTGGAGTGATGTCTCAGCAGTTAAGAGCACTGGCTGTTCTTCCAGAGGTCCTAGTTCAGTTCCCAGTGGCTCACAGCCATCTGTAATGACATCTGGTGCCCTCTTCTGGCCTGCAGGTGTACATGCACACAGAGCACTCATACATAAAATGAATAAATGAATAATTTTTTAAATGATTTATTATTTTTCATATATGTGTGGGTCTGTCCACATGAGTGCCAGTGCTCTGAGAGGCCCAAGGAGTCAGATCCCCTGGGGCTGGGGTTCTGGGCAGCTGCAGGCCTCCAGATATTGGTCTTAACTACTAAGCTGCTGCTCTAACTCCTTCAAACTGAATTTTTATGCTGGTTGGATGTCCCTGATCCTTGATATATTTGTATGTAAAGAGGAATCTTGGGAATGAGACCCAAATCTAAATGAGTTCAGTTCTTTCACAAACATAGAACTTTAAAATGTTCCTAGTTCACCTGTCAACTTCGCTATTTTGTAAACCATGTTTCAAGGATTGTGTTTCTTTTATCTTGGTGTGAAATTTCTTAGCATTCATTTGTTCCTGTCACTTGCCTGTCCTCTTGTAGTTACCCTTTTGTTAATTTGTATCCTTTCTGTCTTTTTGTTTTTAAAGACATGGTCTCACTAGATAGCTAGTGCTGACCTCAAAGTCATAAAGATCCCAGTGCCTCTGCATCCCCACTGCTGGACTTAAAGGTGCGCCAGGCTTGGGTCCTTTCTCATAACAACATCTTACGACAGTGAAGCCCATTTATACAGTCTACTGCATCTTACAAATTTGATGTTGTATTTTCATAATCTAGTTCACTAAGAGTGTATTGCTTAATCATTGTAGCTAGTGCATGCTTGTGCTTTGTGTGTGTGTGTGTACGCGCGCGCGCTTTTAATTCCATCCTCAGGAGGAATTACATCCTCAGATACATCGCGAGTTCTAGCCACGAACACACAATAAGACCTATTTAAAAAAAAACACATTCAGTGTATTGCTTGAGGAATATGGAGAGAGGACAGAAAGGAAAGATGAATACTGCTTGAGTCAAGAGTGGGTTCTCATGCCTCTAATACCAGCGGAGGTGGGAGTATTGCTACAAACTTAAGGCAAGCCTGGGCTATGTAGCGCCAGGGTAGCCTGAGCTGCATAAGGAAACCTTGTCTTAAACAAATGCATTCTTGCATCCATACCTAAGTGGGTAGCTGAATGGGGCAGTGTGTGCTTAGCACACACAAGGTCCTGGGTTCTGCCAAGGCAGCCAGCAATGCAGTGGGAAACATGCGCGCGCCCTGTGCTCATGCTCACCTGTCCACTGCTGTCAGAACTTCCGTGTGTTTGTGTAGTGCGTCTCTACTGCCAGCTCACAAAAACAATGCGGAGAATTTTTTTTAATTATAAATGCCCGGTTGGTAGCTTAGGTTTGTTTCTAACTAGCTCTTATAACTTAACCCATATCTTTTAATCTATATGGCTTGTTATCTCGTACCCCATTTCTTTTACGTTTGCTCAGTTACCTTTACCCTGTACCGCCCATGCTGCTTCCTCAGAGTCTCCTGGTGTCTCCACCTTCTTCCTCCCAGTACCCTCTCTGCTTGGAAATCCCGCCTACCTATTGACCATTCCGCTTTGTATTAATCCAGTCCGAGTGCCACGTCTTCACAGTGCACTTTGTTTTAAGATATAATAAACACGGGCTGGAGAGATGACTCAGAGGTTAAGAGCACTGGCTGCTCTTCCAAAGGTTCTGAGTTCGATTCCCAGCAACCACATGGTGACTCACAACCATCATGTAATGAGATTGGGTGCCCTCTTCTGGCCTGCAGACATATATACAGACAGAACACTGTACATAATTAATTAGTTAATTAATTAATTAATTAATGGATCTTTAAAAAATATATTTAATAAACACTAATCTGAAGCCCAGCCCGGTGGCACCAACTAAGGGAAACTGAAGCAAGAGGATCCTAGTAGTTCAGGGACAGTCTGAACAATGTCTCAAAGCATGAATAAAGCCTCTGTTATTTAGTTATTTATTTTTAAGATTTTTGTGTCTTAGCCAGGCAGTGGTGGCACGCACCTTTAACCCCAGCACTCAGGAGGCAGAGGCAGGCAGATCTCTGAGTTCAAGACCAGCCTGGTCTACAGAGCTAGTTCCAGGAGAAGCTCCAAAGCTACAGAGAAACCCTGTCTTCCTTTTTTTAAAAAAAAAAAAAAATTTGTGTCTTCTGTGTGAATGTCTGTTTATATGTATACAAGTATGCAGATGCCCTTGGAGGCTAACAGAGGGCATCTGCATACTTATCTACATATAACTCCCTAGGAACTGGAGTTATAGGCAACTGTGAGCTATCCAGTGTGGGGTGCTGGGAAACTAACTTGGGTCCTCTGGAAGAGCAACGAGTGCTCGTAGCCATGAGCCATCTCTCCAGTCCCAAGTCCTAGTCTTCATATGTGGTCAAGTTCACTGGTAATCAGCTCAGCTTTGGAGCTGGCATGCAATGGCTGAGCCCCCATGGCTGCTCCGTGGGACCTGACACACTCTATGTGTGTCCTTGTGTTTCCTGCAGGCTGAACAGGGCCAGTCAGACCTACTTCTTCCCGATCCACCTGACGGACCAGCTGCTCCCCAGTGCCGTCTTCTATGCCACCGTGGGACCACTAGTGATCTACTTAGCAATGCACCGTTTGATCATCAAACCATACCTCAGGGCTCAGAAAGAGAAGTGAGTTTCGCACTAAGAACCTCTACCTCGGTCTCCTCTAAGCTGGAGAGCAGACTGTGTCCCCTAGAAAAAGGACAGGTTAATGCTGGGGAAGTGCAAGTGTGGTGTCTGGGTCCTGGTCCTGTCACTGTTGACAGCTGCAGCCACAGGTTGCTCCCTTCTGGCCAGTCAGTCCCACCCTCAGAAATGACCCGATATGCTTTATAAAATTGGCTTCAAACAGGACCGGCACAAATGCTGTCTCCCTCTCTTCTATCCTAGACCTCCCACCCTGGTGCTGAACTTGAAGTGGAATGGGTCTGTTTGGTGTGACTCTAACTGTAGTCATGGAAACCACAGAATAGACCTAGCTTTGAAATTTCTTGTAGGGAGCCCCTCCCCTCAGTCAAAACTGAGTCCAAGCATCCCTCAGAAACTCAAGTGATGGAGAAGGCCCCGTGTTAGCCTCAGAAACACTGGGGCACTAAGGTTCAGTGGGAGGCAGGGTATCCCTCTTCTAGCTGCCTGTGACCTGTTACTAGTGTAGGGGCCGAGTTTCCATGGATGTTTAAAACCTGGAGCAAAGAATGTCCTTCATCTGGCAGCACTGTGTGGGCTGACCCCTGAGTCCCTCTGTTTGCTGTAGGAGTGGGCATATCTGTGCATCCAAAGTAGTCTGAATTGTCTCTGCCTGCTCCTAAGGACAGCAGTTTGGGAGGTTCCATGGAGGAGGTGGACAGGGAAGGTGATCTCAAACTAAAGGGAGATGCACAGACCTGCAGCTCAAAGGCTGACCTGGGATTGTTTTTGAAAGTGTCTTCTAAATTCTAGAAGTAGAAATCCAGTTACATCGCAGACTGCATGCTGGGCTCTGTCCAGCAGAGGGCGCAGTTTGCTCACCGTAGAGTCACTTGTGCCCTGCTTCTCTCTGAAAGGGAACTGGAAAAGCAAAGGGAGAACACAGCCAGTGACATCCTGCAGAAGAAACAAGAGGCAGAAGCTGCTGTGAGTGTCCCACTGCCGCTGTGCAGAGTCCAGACCCAGGACAGCCTCCTCTGTCCCCTTCTCTAACCCATCCTGCTGAAACTGGGACTGCGGAGGAAACTCCTTCCCCTGCGTTAATCCCAGAGCCCAAGGGCTTCTCTTCCCCAGCATTTTACAACCCCATTGCCTTTCTGTGACCTGTGGGAGACTCTGGTCTGTGCCTTGAGATGAATACAGCCCTTCAGGGCCAGACAAGGTTTGTGAAGTGGCAGGGTTGTCTTCTTCTTCCTCTACGTACTTCCTGTTGGGGGGGGTGAGGGAACAGAAGCATCATGACTGAACAGCAGGGTACCATGGGGTTCTTGTGACCAGAGGAAGGACTGCAAAGGCACGTGACTGAGAAACTGCATGAGGCCACGCATGTCCCCAGGCAAACTTGCTCGTTTGAGGGGCAGCACACAGCCCTACCCAGCTGAATGGTTCCACAGAGAGCACAGGTCCTTCTCAAGGAAAGTGGGGTCCAGCTGCTCACATAAAGTGTCTGTCTTCAGGCGGGACCTCACAGCACTCGGGATGACCTCATACTTGTTATGTAGGCCAGATTAGCCTTGAAGTTCATCACTATGGAGCTTTTTATTTCTTTTGAAATACTGGCTGTGTGTTCGGTAATTTCTCATCCTTCATTGGACTCCATGTGCAGAATTACTGAGAAAAGGTGCTGTCTCTTCCACTGGGGTCATTGTGTAGGGTTCTGTCTTGTCAGGTGACTCCCCAACACTGCCTCAAATGGGGCTGAGGGCTTCAGACAGGTGGGTGAGCTGAGCTTAAGGCTTGTGCTCCTTTCCCTGCAGTCCCTGAGCAGACATCTTGACATGGACACAAACTGGGTGTTTGTCATGCTCTGACCAAAACAGTCCAGGGTCCCCGACATGTTCGTCTTTTCTCAAAGGTGCGGTTGATGCAGGAGTCTGTCCGGAGAATAATCGAAGCAGAAGAGTCCAGAATGGGTGAGCGGACACACCCTCTGTGGGCTGGGCACTGGGGTCTGGCAGGACAGCCTGTGTCACCCCTGCCGCTCTGTCCTCAGGGCTCATCATCGTGAACGCTTGGTACGGGAAGTTTGTCAACGACAAGAGCAGGAAGAATGAGCGAGTGAAGGTGATTGACGTGACCGTCCCGCTGCAGTGCCTGGTAAAGGACTCCAAGCTCATCCTCACTGAGGCCTCCAAGGTACACAACTAGGTCACCAAGGCCACCTGTTCCCAGGATCTACAAGAGAAGGCAGACTGGGGTGCAGCTCCACGTGACGGGAAGGTCAGGCCTGCAGTGACCATTTCCTCAGTCTGGAGAGCTTCTGTGTTGGAATCACCTCTGCTCCCATGGGCCCTAAAATTCACCCGAAAGTGACCACTGAGTAGCCCACACCTGCCTTCCTGGCACTTGCATTCTGTTTATCTGCAAGTTCCAGAAAGGGTGTGGACTCAGCTGGCCGTGTCTGGTGGGCTTCAGACTGGACAGGAGAGAAAGCAGTCTAGCGCTGCCTAAGTAAACAACTCTAATCTCCTTCATCAAGCTCCTCGTGCATGTTGTGCCCCGTTGGTGGCAGAAAGGAGCAGAGCAGGCCTTGAGGGCAACCCTCTGTTGCAGGCTGGGCTGCCAGGGTTCTATGACCCGTGTGTTGGGGAGGAGAAGAGCCTGCGAGTGCTGTACCAGTTCCGAGGCGTGCTGCACCAGGTGATGGTGCCCGACAGTGAGGCCCTGAGGATACCAAAGCAGTGTGAGTGGTGCCCTTGGTGCCCCCCTTCCCATACAGCTTCCTCAGTGACAGCTATCCTTGTCACAGGTGGAGTTAGAGCACGCTTCTGGCCAGGTGTGGTACTACAAGAAGCTGAGCTAGTAGGGTCCTGGGTTCCAAGTCAGCCTGGGCTACATAGTGAAGCTCAACTCAAAAACTCAAAAAACAAAAAACAAAAACCAGCCAAGTGGTGGTAGAGCACGCCTTTGATCCCAGGATTCAAGAGGCAGAGGCAGGCAGATCTCTGTGAGTTCAAGGCCAGCCTAGTCTATAAGAGCTAGTTCTAGGACAGGCTCCAAAGCTACAGAGAAACCCTGTCTTGAAAAACAAGAAGACCCCCCCCAAAAAAAAAAAAACTAGCACTTGGGAGGCAGGCAGATCTCTGAGAATTTGAGGCCAGCCTGCTCTACAGAGGAAATTCTAGAACAGCCAGAGCCAGGGCTGCTATGCAGAGAAGCCCTGTCTTGAAAAGAAAAGCAAAAAGTCTAGACAGATGGCTCATCAGTTCAGAGCACTTCTTGTTCTTGCAGGGGACCCAGGTTCAGTTCCCAGCACCCACACGGTGGCTCACAAACATCTGTGACTGGTTTCAGGGCATCTGACACCCTCTTCTGCCTATGGGCACCAACCATGCATGTGGTTCATACATATATTCAGGCAGAACACTCACACAGAACTTTTAGATGGGGGTAGGATGACCATTCTTGCCACAGCTGTGTGGAAGTGACCCTTCGACCTGGGTGCAGAAGCAGGTGCTTCAGGTTGGGGGTGGTGCAGAAGCAGGTGCTTCAGGTTGGGGGTGGTGGGAGGAAGCAGGGGTCTGAAGTCTAGGCCAACCGTGGACTACAAAGAAAAGCCCTGCCTCAGAACACAGGAAACGCAGCTGCTCCCAGCCCGGCCTCGATGCGGGAGGTGGAGGAAGCGCACCTGTCCTGCTGCCCTGACTTGTGCTTCTCTTTCCAGCTCACAGAATCGACACAGACGGATAAACCACTTGGAACCCTGAGTAAAAAGGCTACAAAATACTTTCCGGGGAGTCTACAAATTTGGAGCAGGGAAAACCCAGACATGAGATGTTTTTTGTTTATCCCTCAAGAAGGTGGCACTGTATCAATTATGTGATGGGACATGCAGACAGCCTAGCCTCGTGGGTGCTGTGGGCAAGGACTGCGGAGCCCCACCCTGGCCAGACCACAGCATGGCCACATCTTTCCCAAGGATCATGTTCCTGGAGGACAGCGCCTGAACCGACTCGAGGTCACCCCAACCCGGTCCTCGTGAATGGCCATGCACAGCCACTCTCGGGAGGCATTTGGGACATCCTCACACATGGACTGTTCTTCCTGAAGTCCACGCTGCACCTGGGAAACATGAAAAGGAAGGTGTGGCGCGTGCTGCTCAGTAGACTCCACAAGCCACCTTTCTCTTCTAGAACATTACAGAGTGGACTGGAGAGGACTGTGGGTTTATAAAACTGCTTTTTATCCGAAAACAACAGGTTTGGAAACTAGTCTCTTTCTTCCCACTTCCAGAGCTTCTCAAACCATTCCTCCAGGCCCTGGCTTGGGACAGAGAGGGGAGACCCCAGGTCCCAGGGTGCACTGTCCAGGCATACTGCCCACAGTGCTGAAAAAAGATCCTGCCCAGTAGCCCCTTCACCCCACCCACAAGACATCAGCCTTGCCTTGCCTGCAGCCACTCCTCTAGAGGGCAGTGCTGGAAGAGTTGCAGGTAGTGGGGAAGTTTGCCAATTCCTGGGTGTGGGCCAAAGGCTGGCCCAGATACCTGTACCTCTAGTGAGTGCCCAGCAGGCGGTGTTGTTGCTTGCCAGGCCAGGCTCTCACAAGGTTCCTTCTAAGGAGTCTCAGTTCCCAGCCCCCTTCTAGTGCATTGCACACTTGCTGGCTGTCACTGCAAGCTCTACCCCTCTGAGCAGGTGTGACACCGGCGCTGACTCTAACCCTGGTCCACAGCAGTAACTGCTGAAGGCAGACATTGCCTCACCCATTCTCATAGCCCTTCAGTTTCTAAGAGCATTCAGTTCTGTAATATTTATCTCCGTTTTTTGTTTGTTTTTTTTTTTTTAAGAGGCCTTTTCTTTGCCCCAGACTGATGTGCGGTTTGCACTGTTGCATGAGCCCGACTCAGTGGCCTGTGGCTCCCTGGGCACCGCTGCCCCTTCTGTGTGAAGCTGATTGTGGCGGCACTGCCCAACAATAAACCTGACCTGCAGTCAGTGTGTGTGTGTTTAGAAAGGGCTAGGAACCAGCTCCAGTGCCCTAGACCTGTCCCCCCACCCCACCCCCTGCTGCTTCAGCTTGGACCATTGGCTTCCATTCCACACTCAGGTTTACCTGAGACATAGAACCTCAAAATAAGGAAATTAGACAGAAGATTTTGTGTTTGCTTTTTAATCATGGTCTGGCTGTGTGGTCCGGACTGGCCCAAAACTCCTAATTCTCCTGCCTCAGCCCCCTGAGTGCTGGAACTACAGGTGTGCACCTCTACTCAGATATTTTAATGTTTTCACTTTTTAAAGCAGTCTTCATGTCTAGATAGTCTGTATTCTTGGTAGTGAGTCTAGCCCTTAACATCTGGGCTATCTCTCCAGCCCGTGTATGGGTATTTTGCTTGCATGTGTGCACCATGTATTTACAGGGTGCCCTCAGAGATCAGAAGGGGGCAAAAAAGAAACAAAAACCATCTAGAATTGGAGTTGGATGGTGATAAGATGTCATGTGGGTGCCAGGAGCCGGACCTGGAGCCTCTGAAAGAGCAGCCAGCACTCTTAACCACTGGGAGAAGATGTTTCTGCAGCCCCACCCCACATTCATTTATTTATCTGCTTAGTTATTTTGAGTCAGTCCTGTGGTACGGTAGTCACAGCCTGTCTCTCCTGTATCAGGAAAAGGTGAAAGCAGCAGGCCTTAAATAGAGTTCAAAGCGTTTATTCCAGATTTACACAGACCAGGCCAGAGTCATCAGAAATACAGGCTGATGTGGGAGACCCTTGCCCTGTCCTCAGAGCGGCTCCTCTGGGAAGGTGAGAAGGACCCCACAGACTAACTGTGTTCCTGGGACCACCTCTCCCTCGGGGTACTGTCTCTGGCAGGGCTGCGACAACTCCTAACATTTGGTCACTGTTACAAGACAGGCCCACAGCTGCCATCCTCAGCTCAGGAGACCCAAGATTGTGCCTGGTTCCCCAGCACTTGGGCCCTCCCCTGACGACTGTCTGTCGGGGCATCCTATCCATCCAGTCTCAAGGTGCCTTGCAGCACTAGTGGTAGGAATGTGCACAGCAGAGACGAAAACCACTTCCTGCAAGGGTGTCGCCACCATCCCCACATCCCAGGGCCTACTTGGGCTCAGTTCTGCTGTGCTGACCGTCTGGCCCGCGGTCCCCGCTGTCCCCCTCTATACGCTCGCAGGCGGCTACATGTCCTCCGAAGCAGCAGCCTCTGGGCCCTCAGTCGTTTCCGGAGCCTCTTGTTTTCCTTCAGCGTGAGGAAGAGTTTTTTTTTCAGGGTATCCAAGTCCAAAAGGGCATAGCTGTGATCGGACGGCTGTCCCGGGAAGGGCCGTTCTAACCCCATGGGGCCGGCTGGCAGGCCAGAAGCCTCCATTGCTTCTGTTCTCTCTGGTAAGACCTGAGGACAGAGGTCAGTAGTAAGAGCTGTCCAGGTGTGGCCCTGTGTCCCCAGCAGGAAGGCTTCTGAGCTGGGGTCACAATGCCCATTACCCTTCTGGTCTAGCCCCAGCCCCATTTCCCCCATTTCCCCTTGTGAAATCCCGATGGTGGTCTTAGGAGAGGCTCTGATCCTGTCTTCTCTCGGGTCCTCTGGGGCATTTCTGAGACCAGCTTGTACCCAGGGTCTTACCTGTTTCACAGGGCCTTCAGTGTCTGGAGGCTGAAGCTCTTCCAGTGTGCGGTCCCCACCAGCCCCCACCTCAGGACAGACCTGGATACAGCAGGCGGAGTCAGGCTGGCTGAGCAGGCAGACACCGGATCCTCAGGCAGCTGCCACTGTCCATCCCTGAGTAATCCCTGCCCGGAGGCTGCAGCCAAGTCCTGTGCATCCGCAGTAAGAGCCTGCCTCCCACCAACTCCAGGGCTCTAGCCTATGACCCACTGAGCCTGATGCCAGAGGGCAGGGAAGCCTGAGGCCACAGCTTCCCTCTGAGAAAGCAAGCATCCTGAACTCAAACCTAGCTCTGCTTTTCTCCAGATACTCTCTCGGCGCTCACTAAACTCTGCTTGCGAGTGCACTGCCTGACTGCCCTCCACTGCAACCCTGGGGTGTGTGGAGAGCCGGTGCACTCACAAGAGGCAGCATCTCTCCCTCACCAGCCGCAAGACACGGCTGTCGCTCAGGCAGGACACAGTGGGACCTAACCGTGGGCCAGACAGAGGCCTGGTACAGCCACGTCCCCCTGCTCAGCCTGAAGCAGGGCACAACTAGAAATACCAACTGAATCCAGCTGTGCTCACTCTTGCCTTCACTAGATATACAGGTCCCCATAGCTCCAAGGACCTGACTCCTTTGCATCACCTTGGAGCCTGGTAACCATCCTGGGTGAACACTGGCCCTATGGTGCCCTGTCATCAAAAGGTCATGCAGATCTGAAGTCCCTGCTAGCTGCTGGCAGCGCACACATCTGCAGCTTCTTGCTACCAGCTTAGCCTGGGGGCACTGAGGACTGTGAAGTGGACCTGCTCAGATCTCTCCCAGCTTCTGACCACTGGCCCTGGTTCTCCCACCTAGGAGCCGTAACCTCCACCCTGTCACCATAAACATGGCCTAGAACGCACTAGATACTTCAGGCTGGAGTTTGTGGCAATCCTCCGGCCTCTGCCTCCTAAATGCTGAGATTACACCTGGGTTTCTTGTGAGACAGGCTCTCACGTACCTCAGACTGACCTCAAACCCCAAGGATGACCAAACTTCTGATCCTCCTGCCTCCACCTCTGGAATGGCAGGATCTCACACATGCACAGCCTAGACTGAGCAGCATTGGGGATCTAGCCCAGGGCTCCGTGCATGCTAGGCAAGCACCTCTACCAAGGGAACGGCAGCCCCAGGCCTCAGCAAGCGCATGTTAGTATTAAAAGTGTTTGGAATTACTTTTCTTCTCTCTGGGGGGTGGGGGTGGGACAGGGTCTTGTGTACCCCAGGCTGGCTCCACATTATGGGATTACAGGCAGGCCTGCAGCACCATAGTTTATGCAGTGCGAAGGCTTGAACCCAGGGCCGCTTCCATCCTCTTACCAGCTGAGCTACACCCCAGACCCAGCTTCTTTTTAAGCTCCCCCCCCCCCATTCAGCACACAGACAGTCCCACTGGCTAGACGTCAGACCACCTTACCTGTGCGGGGTTCTGAAAAGCAAACACGGTAGGCACGGCATTGTGTTTGAGGTTCTTGCGGTTCCCGAAGGCACTGAAGCACTCAGGTCTGAAGTGCTCAGAACAGATGACCGTGTGTTGCTTGGGCTTGAAGTTGACCCGGCCGATGTTGAGCACCCACTCCTTCAGGAGCTCCGGGCGGCTGAACGGGAACCTATGGGCACAGCATTCCATGATCCAGCGTTAGGAACTCAGTAGTCCACTTTGTTTACCCTAAAATCCGGACACTCACCAAGGCTGTTATCAGCACATATATGAAACCCAGGATCATGAGCATGATAGAAGAGCTCAAGAGAGCTGAATTTCCACAGCACATGCCAGCAACTGTCGTTCCTTCATGAGTTCACTGCTGGGCCTGGAGAGAGGGCTAAGTGGTTAAGAGCACTGAATGCTCTTTCGGAGGACCAGGGGTTCGATTCCCAGCAGCCACATGGCAGCTCACAACTCTTCTGTAATTCGTTTCAGGAAATCCACCCTCACAGACATGTGCAGGCAAGACACTAATGCACATAAAAGAAAAGTAATAATTTTTTTTTTTTAAAGTTCACCTCTGGCCAGGTCCCGATTTCCTGCCAAAACGTGGCAGTGGATAGGATCAAGTCCCTGCCCTTCAGGAGTCTACGTGGCAAACGGCAGCAAAGCAAGCTGAGGGGACTGTGAGGGCTGCAGCGGCTGAAAACAGCCTTAGCAAGGTGACACCTGAACAGACCCTGCAGCAAGTGGGTGGCCTTCACAAAGGACCACGTGACACGGGGCTTTATTTCGGTGAGATGTCTGTAGGTGCCAGAGAAGGGAAGGGAAGGCAGCCTGTGTCCACCCGGGCTGCAATGAGAACCAGGGCCGAGCAGGAGAAAGTGCTGGAGATGGGGGAAAGATACTGAAAGCAAGGCAATGCTAAGTTAGCGACTCAAGTCTGCAATCTGAGCACTGGGAAGACTGAGGCAGGAGGACCACTTTGAATTCAAGGACAGCCTGGAGTACCAGAATGAGACCTCGTGTCAAAAATAGAACAACAGCTGGGCAGTGGTGCTGTGTGCCTTTAATCTCAGCACTCGGGAGGCAGAGGCAGGTGAGCTCCAAACCAACCTCATTACTTAGCAATTCAAGGCCAGCCAAGGACTTGTCTCAAAACAAAAGAAAAAAATAAAAAGGAAGGAAAAGGCCAGGTTTCAAGGTTTACCTGTGGATCATGAAGCAATGGGAAGGAAGGAACTTCATGTTTGCCATGGAGGACAGGAGGTTTGGGTGAACAGAAGTTTGGAATGTTAGGTGTTCAAGGTGCTCTTCGGACTGCCCAAGAACAGGCGTGGCGGATGGGCACATGTGCCCGGGGATGTCCCTACAGAACCTGCCAGCCTGGGAGACTTCAGCACTCTGGTTCCCTGTTGAACACGTCAACACTCAGTGTGGGAAGTGGGGAGGACTCGGCCGAGGAGACTGACAAGGGCGATCTGGGACAGAGGTCAGATGTGTCCTAGGACTCTGGGGAAAAGACCAGTCTGGTCAGAAGCTAGTGAGAAGTCAGGTAAGACAAAGGCAAAGCCCAAGCAAGAACTGAGCCGTGGTGCAGGCCTGGAATTCCAGCAGGAAGACCCAGTTTAAAACCAGCCTGGGCTACACAAGACCTCTGCTCTCTCAAAAAAGTAGGAGCAACACCGCCAGAGAGAAAGGTCACACGCAGGCAGGAGGAAGGACACGGGTTAGTAATCAAAGCTTGGAATGCACACAGAAGAAAAAAGTCATTAGGAACCTACCAGTGTCTGTGATGACTATGCTAATAAAAACATTCTAGGCCAACACTCCGGAGGCAGAGGCAGGTGTGTCTCTGCGAGTTCAAGGCCAGCCGGGTCTACGGAGCTAGTTCCAGGACAGGCTCCAAAACTACAGAGAAACCCTGTCTTGGAGGGAAAAAAAACAAAAAAACAAAACAAAAAAACAAAAAACATTTTAGAGCCAACAAGATGATTCAGCTGGTGAAGGCACTTGCTGCCAAGTCTAATGACCTGAGTTTGGTCCCCATGATTTACTCGGTGGACGGATGAAACCAACTCTAGAAGCTGTCCTATGACCTCCACTCCTGCACTGTGCATCTGTGCCCACACACAAATAAATAAAATAAAAATTTAAAAACAAAGGTGGGGATTGGAGACATGGCTTAGAACACTGGCTCTTAACTTCCAGAGGACCTGGGGTTCAATTCCCAGCACCCACATGACAGCTTATAACTGCCTATAACTCCAGTTCCAGGGGACTGGACACCTTCACACAGACATACATGCAGGCAAAACATGAATGCATATGAAATAAAAATTATTTTAAAAAAATGAAGAAAGAAAACGGCAAGAGTGAATGGAGGTGACTGTCCCCGAGTACACAGCAACATGACCAGGAGACAGAGGTCCCTAGATAACTGCCCATGCAGCCACCAAGAGGCCCTTCATTTGCAGAGCACAATTTCTGACACATGTTCAGTGGAGTACTATGCAGAAAAGAACCCAATTGCGCATGCGGGGCAAGGATGACTTCGGCAACAGTGGAAAGAAGGAGGGGGGTGGGGATGTGGGAGAGAGAGAGAGAGAGAGAGAGAGAGAGAGAGAGAGAGAGAGAGAGTCGCTGATTTCCATTACTTAAGGCTCAAACCTTAAGTAATGGCCCCAGCAGTCCACTCTAGCGGCAGGCTATCTCTCTGTGGGCAGGTGAGAAGAGACTGGAAGTGGGTGCCAGTGGAGAGCCTTCTGTGGGCTGCCAACTGATGTGTGCATTTTTCCGTGGTAGAAGCAGTGAAACAGTGTACTGGGGCCCCGCGGGGGGTGGAGAGCACCCTGTGCGCGCAGGCTGCCAGGCCTTGGTGAACTGCGCTGGAGGCAGACATTGCTCGAAGCTAGCGCCCCTGGAAAGGGCTACGCACGAGCTGGACTGGGGAAAGGAGTCCTGGGACTACAAGGCTGAGTATTCACCACCTTCCCACGACCAAAGAAAGCCCATGCGGCCTGGCCATCCTGGAGGGCGCTCATTCCTCCAGACCATGTACCTCCGCCTGGGCCTCCCTCGAGGTGACGCAGGCAGCAAGGGGCCAGCATAGGGACACGGCCAGACGCCACCCACGCTCAGCCTGTTTACACTGAGCATCTAATGCTTCCAGGTGAGATGGGTTAGCCCAAGCCTGCACTAAGAGAGGCTGGCTGGATTCGGGCTTTGAGGCTGTGGGAACAACCGCTGACGCCCCAGCCGTCCCCTCCCTGCAGTCCCGATCCACCTCGTCCGCACACCCTGGACTTCCCGGAGCTCCCGCCCGGTGCACTGGGGCCTGTAACTGCTCCACAGGGTCGGGTCCCGGCCTCCCATCCCTCACCGGTGGAAAGTGAGCTGCTTCCTGCGGCTGCTGTAGCGGTTGCAGCATTGCCGGGCCGCGCAAGACTTCGGCATCTCGGCGATGAGCCCGCTGCCCCTAACAAAGATGGCAGTACGCGGCCCTAGGGGCGGAGCTTGAGGGGCGGGGCCTGCAGGGCTGCGGGGGCTGGGACCTGACTTGCTCTGCTCCCTGCCTCCTAGAGTTTAAGACCTATTAACCTTGGAAACCTGGACCAGAGGTGTCAACCCTCAACTCAGCTAATATTTTAAAGCTCCCCGAGGTGCTAGTAGGCGGTAGGAGTTGGGCCTTTTTAAAAACAGTAACAGAGACTGGCTAGCCTGGAACCCATCACATTCCCCTATCAGCCTCCCAGATAAAGGGGGTACCCACGGGAGGTGCTCTCTTGGCTACTTGGGGGACAGGAGTCTAGCACTGCAAACGCACCCCATCTCAGATCCGCCTCTCTCTGCTTACCAAATGCTGGAGTTAAAGGCCTGTCACCTGGACAAGGAAAGTTCCAATCCCAAACTTGCAGAGCAGAAAGGCTGTAGCTTTGAAGCACAGGTAAATCCGGGGGTGGGCACACCTTTGGTGGAGACAGAGTGACTGAGGAACAAGAGAAGCCTTTTTTCTTTTCCAAAACAGGGTTTCTCTGTGTAGCTTTGGAGCCTTTCCTGGAACTTGCTCTGTAGACCAGGTGGCATCAAACTCGAGATCCGCCTGCCTCTGCCTAGTGCTGAAGCCTGTCAGTAAGCTACACTGGCTAGCAGTTAACTGGGGAAGCGGACCAGGAATAGCAGTCCTTTTCATTGTGCTAAATGCCAAAACCAAGTCAGTTTTGCCAGAGTCACCACCCGGGTAAGTGACTGGGAAGACGCTCAGTGTCCTTCAGCACAGGATAACTCAGGAGACACCAACCTCAAAGTAGCAATATCTTTATTTACAAAATATACAGTTTCACAGAAACAGCTTGCTTTATACACATAAACTTTATAATTACACAGAACCATGTAAACGATGTTGTGTCTGGTCTGGCCAAAGCCAATGGGAGGGGTCTACTTTGGAGGTGATACCTTTCCCTCCCCTCACATCACTAGCATCAACCAGGAGGCCCTAGAAGGGTCATGCCCAGTTTGCATAAAGAAGCTAATGACAGCTGCCCAGCTCAATCTACACCCAAACCACCCACAGGGAAAGCTCCCCTTAAAAACACAAAGCAAGCAAACAAATTGAGATGAGTGTCACTGTATCCCAGAGCTATCAAATCTCTGAGCACAAACAATGGCCTTCCACACCAAACCACAACAAAACCACGTATTCTCAAATGCACTTAAAAAAAAAAAACGAAAAACACCTACTGGAACTTTGGTTTTTCTCAGGGTGAGGACACTGGACAAGTACTGTCATGGGGCAGGTCTTTGGCAAATTCCTCTAACTTGTCCTGGGTATTCACTCCAGTCAGAGCCAGACAATAGCTCCTTCACTATAGCAGAGTTCTCCCTTGAGATCTGCGCGACCAACTGAGCTTCAGCAATGAGTATTTCTCTGTACTTTAATATGAGCAACAGGACTTTTAAAAACAAACAAAAAACTAAGACAGTTACTTAAACTGGACAAGCGTGAGAGATACTGAGACCCACTCCTTTCCCTCCCCCAAGAAGGGCTCTGACTAGCCAAGTTACAGTTTGAGCTCCTTTGGTGTTTAAGATATTGTGGAGGAATGAAAGTCTGGTGACCCTGCAAAGGTGTTACACAGGGGGAAGAAACGGGACCTACTTGGGTACTCTTCCCTGTCTCATGCCTAACAAGAAACAATACTTAAGAAATACACCCACTGCTTTGCCAAACACTGCCGAGAACAAGCATCGGAAGTGCTGAACAACAAGGGCCCTTGAGAGTCACAGCGCTCCCTCTCTGTTCCAGCCCTAAGACCACCAGTGTCCAGGTGTGGGGCAGCCCTCACCCAGACCAGAGCTCTGGGTCACACCTTTCCAACTCTGCACACTGTTGCAAGCTGATGTTACAGCACTAATCCAAACTCGCGCCTTGCCCCAGGAACCCAGCAGGCCAGTCTGTGTGCACGGAGGGCAGTCCCTGCAGGACGCCCTTGGATTCTTTCTAACCATCATCTAAACGAACAGCTCATAGGTCCTGAGGACAGCGTCATCTGGGGGCTGCTACTGGAGCAGATGAGGAACAGAGAAATCAAGTGATTCCACAGAGGGTGGTGCTAGGCACCCTGGGGCACAGACCACCAACGGCAGACAAAGGGCAAGTAGGAAGACACTGGCAAATACTTTGGGCTGTATCGTGCGAAAAAATGGTTTTTTTACATCGTGCAAAACAAGAACTTAGTTATGAACACAGGACAACCTCCACCCACAACTCTGCTCTGTGGAGAAGTGGGTACATACTGTCCCTTCAAACAAACAGTGAAAATCAAAGACTCACCGCTCACCCACCACCAAGGGCTCCTCTTGGGGACACCAGACCTCTAAGGAAGCAACTCCCTAGCCCAGTAAGTACAACTAAGGCAGGGACAATGAGATCACAAAGGGGCAGACAACTTGGACGGCTGCTGTATAGACACTTGTGATAATAGACCAACACTGGAGAATAAACACAGGCCAGGGAAACAGAACAACTCCACTCCCGAGCACAGACAGGACTGCCGACTAGCACGGCTCCCAACGGTGGGAACTGGCTAACGATCCTGTGCCCGCACTCAGCTCAAGGAGACCTGGTGCTCAGTCTGTCTCCGGTACAGAGAACACAGCTGGAGCAGCAGCTTTGGCCACCATTTTATCTGCTCACTGGCTATGTACAGTTTTATCTGGACAACTAGTCCTTTGCTTAGGCACCTGAGTGGCAGGGTCTGCCCGCACCAGAGCCGGGAGTTCTGTGCTCAACTAAGGGAAGCCACAGAGCCCAGGCCCTTCCAGTCCCGCCTATCTCCTGGCCAGCTCCAAATCAGTCCAGAAACAGCTTCCGGGAGCCCATTCGGGAACGATTGGAACGTCGGATATCGAACTTGGAGTCCCGGCACTTTTGGCAGACAAACACTTCCGGAACATTGGACTTGCGGATCTTCGCACAGGACAGGTGGATCCAGGTGTGGCACTCGTTACACTCTATCATGGGGCGACCAGCAAAAGGCTTCATGCAGAAACAGGTGACAAGATCCCAGGAATCATCATCTGGAGGGAAATCAACAGTTGACAAGTGAGAACCTCCTGAGGCCCGCCATCTTGCCTGGGAGCTGCACATCCAGCACACGGTGGCCCAAGTGTGGCCACAGCTGCACTAGCTGAGCTGGTGTCTCTCTGAAGGCAGTGACTTCATCCCAAACAGTGCTGAGAGCCATGGGGGGGGGGGGGGGCCACGCCATTTTCACACTCAGGCTTGGACAGAAATCGTGGGCTGTACCCAGGAGCTAACAACTCTCTTAGGAGCACTGATCTGCCCTTCCACACTTCCTCCCTGATCCCACCCCAGGGCCTAGACCCTCTGCTCAAAGCACTCACCTGAGTCTACCATGATATCCTCATCGTTGCCAGTGCTGTCTTCATCCCGGAACACCACCTGCTTCCCCTGCCGGACAATAGTCCGTTTCCCTTCAGTTTTTATTTCTTTAACCTGATCAGGCGACACAGTAGCACAAGAGCCACTTGAGGGAGTGTCAGAGTCCCAGCCTGAGCAGGGGTCAGCAGAGGCCTGGGGAATATCCTGTATGGTGGGACTGGTGGGGGTCTCTGCGTATGGGTCTGCAGCTCCCAGGTTCAGCAAATCCCCTCTGTACCCCTCCTTCACAGGAATGTCGTCGTCCCTCCGCTTCCTCTTCTTCTTCTTCTTCAGCTTGTCTGTCTTCTTCCTGTCCAGCAGGAAGTCACTGGGCTTTGCCCGCTGCAGGAGGGAAGGCTGCAGGTGACTGAAGCAGCGGTCCGACACCGGCAAGGGCACAGAAGAGGTGATGTCAGAGAAGCCCGCGTCCCAGCCGTCACTGTCGATGGTGCCCGCAGTGCTGTTGGCCGGGCTGGGGCTGCTCCTCAAGGGGAGCTCCTGAAACAGAGAGCAACAGGGCGTGGTTGGTCATTTAAGCAGCCTCCAGGGCTAGGAGCCTCCAAGCAGGTCAGTCCTTCTACACTGAGCAAGCACAACCTGGACCCTGGGCTCAAACCAGCATCAAACTTGTATGACCTCGTTAGTACTAATGCGCCAGCAGACCAGGACGGCACACCTTCCCTCACTGAGATTTTCCAGCCCAGAGCCAGGACAAAGCTCACAGTCAAGGCTAAGGTACAATTTGGGACTGGAGTGGCAGAGTGCTTGCCTAGGATGCAAGGAAGGGGCCGTTGAGTTCTTCCCGCCCTCCAAGATCCTACAGGAACTGCTACTACAATCACCTTCTCTCAGCTTCAGTCTCCCTGAAGAAGGAAGAGTATACCTCCATTTGTTCTCCCAACAGCCCCAAACTGTCTGCCTCTGCCTCCTGAATGCTGGATTAAAGGCATGCACCATTCCTGGCTCGCAACAGGTATTTTTCAATTAAGTGACTTTAGTTTCAAATTTTTGACCTTCTCTAAAAGCCAAACAAAAAAACAGCTGAGCATAGCAGCACAAGCCTTTAAGGGAAGTGGTTCAAGCCCAGCCTGGTCTAAAGAGTGAGTTCTGGGACAGCCAGGGCTACACAGAAAAACCCTGTCTTGAAAAACTAAAAATAAATAAATAAGTAAATGGAAATCTATTTGTTAAGTCAGTTCTAGAGAAGCTTACGAAAGCTTTGGAATCACTTCCCTGTTTCCTGTCTGAGCTCATCTAGGTTCCCAAAAAACTGATTCCCGCCAGACTGCTGCCTGAAGCTGGCACTAAGTGCCAGCAGACCCACCGCTGCTAAAGCACCTGTAGCAGGGAGCCAAGGCGCTGGAGGCTGATGCTCCAAACTCTGTAATCATTACCTCCTTCGGGTAGGGGATGTAGCCAGCATATGCCAAGACGAAGGTGCAGAATTTGTTGAAGTCCTCAACGGTGCGGCGCCTCTTACAGCTGGGGGAGTACTCCTGTGGAGGGGAACAAAGGGGCTGTGAAGAAAACTCCAGGAGGTGAAGCTGACCAAAACAAAGCAAGCTGCAACTTTTATTGCCAACTCACACAGCACTGCAGAATTTACAGTCTAGAAACAAGATAAGGTGAGTTGGGGTCAAGAAACAACAAAGTGTTCTTAAGGTAGAAAGAGGCGTTTTAAGATTCTGTGCCAAGAACACTGGGAAACCAGCTAGAAGATAAAGGCTTGTCTAGAGTCCACCCGCCTTATCTGTTTGTCCCTGCAGGCCTATCGGGAGCTCCAACATCGGCATTTTTGCTAGAGATTTTCCACTATGAAAACAAACTGCAGCTGTGGCTCTAAAGAAAAATTAAGTGATTTCAAAAACCAGCTGCTTAATCTCTCCTTGCTCTCCAAACCTGACTCCCTGGAGGCCAAGGCAGGGAGGGGGAGCCCCAGTGTCTGCAGCTCGGGGCTCAGAGGGACAGACATCCTCTGTCCTCTCCTGGGAGAGGCGGGCTGCCTGCCGGACACCCAAATGTTCTTCGAACTCAGTCGGAATGGAGAACGCACCGCTCACTTTAGGTGCGCACTTACGACGCAGGCAGGATCGGCCGGCTCAGGGGCCGTTCTTAACGGCCGCACAGCACCCACCACAAAAAGAGATTTTCTCCCGAGAAGGCGGAGCATCAAAGGCCCCGGGAACATTCCCTGCGGTTGCTCCCGCAACTTGTCACCACCCCCACCCGTACTCAGGTGCTCGGCCAGCTGGAAGGGGGACACCGGGCCGACCTCCGAAACCCTCCCGCGAAGGAGCAGCACTTTCAAACGCGGTCCCAACTTGCTCGGGCAGGCCGCTCGCTCCCGCCCCTCGGGCAGCCCCGCAGGCGACAGAGCGGGCCGCGCGCTCCCGGCACTTGGGCGGCCA